CCGGACAGGAGCAGCTCGCGGGCCGTATGTGGCCCTCGGGCCGCACTTTGCCCATGGCCTTTTTAGACACAGCACATTCTTAGAAAGGCTCTGCTAGTATATCTGTCATGGTGTATCTTGTATTCCACCAAAAGTGTGGCTGAAATTATGTTGTGCAGCTGTGCAAGTGGAACAGGAATGACATCAGCAGAAGCATTATTTTGTAATTTTGGCATGTATGCAACTCATACATAATGTGATAAAGTTGCATGTTGTGCATATGAAGCTGGCCAACAGGATTTTAGCCAGTGAGTCTCTGTATGGCCCGAGCCATCATAACCTGAGTAAAGAAGTACTCTTTTAAAAGATTAAAGAGATGCTCCCAATTAACAGTTGAAATTGTTTTTAAAAATGGATGCAGCCATTTATTTTTAAAAACTGCAGATGGGAAATACAACCTTTAAAGAAGCATTATTTTGTTTTATTATCTTCTCTCACTTTTCTTGGAGGATTAAGGCTACTGTGACATAGGTGTACTCAGTGAATTAAAAAAAACATGCTTCTTCATTCAGACTAATTGTTTGGCAATAAGCAACTTTAGCCAGCATGCAAATTTATGCAAATATATTTAGCTAATTTTCTTCTTGACGAACATTCACATGGCTAATCAACTAAGCTTTGAGCAATTAATTGGGTAACCATTCCAGTTGAGGTTTAATTAATTGGGTGACAGTTCCAGTCTAGACTAAATTGAGTGAGGTTCCATCTCTACGAAGAGGAGACATTTCAGAAGAAAGCCAACTGTAAATGCAGTAAACAAATTCAGAATATAGCAGTATGTATGACTAGATGTTATATCTTAGAATAAAATCAGGATGGCCTGCAATAACCTAGCTCAGGCAGAATAACAAACTGAATAACAAAAGAAAAAGTACACCTTTATGTTACCAAAAGTTAATGAAAAGGTTGACTAGAACTTTAAAACTTGGTAGGATCAATAAAACTTGGTAGGCTCAATAGTTTTATTGCTTTTATGGGAATTTCAATGGAAGAAGCAGAATTTCTGAAACAAACACCAAACTCTTATACTGTCACTCAGAAAGTCTATTGAAATGAACGTTGCTTGAAGACCGAGGCTAAAACAGAGCACCAGTGTTCAGTTAATGCATATCATTTGTTAAATTTAGAACATCCACCATTTTTTTCTTTCCACAGATATGAAAAGCTCGACTTTGTAAAAAATATTTTTAAACACATCCTTTGTCTTTTGGGAATACATATTTTACATCCATTTCTTATTTTAAAACTACAGGAGAAATGAGTGGGCTATATTGGTATGTTGCTGCAGAAATAGCAAAGATGCTTGTGGCAACTTAAAAGAAGAAAATGCTGCAGTTCAAAGATTATTATTATTAGTAGAAATATTTATTTGATGTAAGCTTTCACAGACTTCAGTTCATTTCTTTAGATGCATCATCTTGCTGCTAAACATACTAGGCATCTCTGTTGTAGAATGCTTTCACACATATTCCATTTATCATTTTATTTATTTATTTATTTACAAGATTTTTTAAGCTGCGCCATTACCAATGGTCTCTGAGCAGCGTACAACAATATTGAAACATTAGAAAAACATTAAAACCATTAAACATCCTCAATATTATAATAATACTCTACTGAAACAGTTAATTTATCATTAATAAATCCTGCTGCTCATACGGCTAGCTAAAGGATACTATTTAATTAAAATGCTGGCTAAACAGAAAGGTCTTTGCCTGGCACTGAAAAGCCAAAAGTGTTGGAGCCCCGCAACTCTCTATGGGGAGGACGTTCCAAAGTTGGGGGGCAACAGCCGAGAAGGCTCTGTCTCGACATGCCATCCCTCTCACTTTTTCAGGGATGGCACCTTCAGAAAGGCCTCCTGATCTGATCTTAGAGTACCGGTAGGTTTGTATGAAAGAAGGCAGTCCTTTAAGTAAGCAGTCCCTAAGCTATCTAGGGATTTGTGGTTCGAAAGCATACAAAATGCAAAGTGTGAGTAGATAAATAGGTACCACCATGGTGGGAAGGTAACAGCATTCCGTATCTAGTCGCACTGGCCACGTGACCACGGAGGATTGTCTGCGGACAAACACTAGCTCTATGGGTTGGAAATGGAGATGAGCACCACCCTCGAGAATCGGACACGACTGGACAAATTGTCAAGGGGAACCTTTACCTTTACCTATGTGAAAGTAAGCACTTGACTTGGGCCTGAGCAGCAACCGGCAGCCAGTGTAAATTTTTCAGAACCGGTGTTATATAAATCTGTGCGGCAGCACCACTTACCAGCCGCACAGCCCAGTTCTTTGCCAGTTGCAGTTGCCGGACTGTCTTCAAAGGCTGCCCCATGTATAGCACATTGCAATAGTCCAGTCTGGTTGTTACCAATGCATGTGTTACTGTTGCCACGCCCCACTCATCCAGGTAAAGGTGAAGTTGCTATATTCTCCACAGCTGTAAGAAGGCACCCCTAGACACCGAGTCTGTTGCATCCTAGCAATGTAATTTCTATAGCATTAAAAATTGCAGAAGACTTCACAGCAAAGCAAAGCTAACTTAGTTCTAATCTTCCATGTGAACTTTTCTTCTTCAATTTATATTTATTAATTCATTATTTTCTTAGAATTTTAGATACGAGTATTTCTTTCAGCCCAAAGTGGTATTATCATGAAAGACAACTGGGAAAAAGCACTGATTTTATAGACCTTATATGTACTGATTTTATTTATACTTTTGTATAATTTGGCATGACATGCTAGTATAATGGAAATCCATTAGGCCTTTTTAATATTTAAGTTGCAGACAATTCATACCACAAAGTCTGAATAAGGAAGCTTGATAATTTTGTCTTGGAAAACATGCTGTTAGCAGAGACTAGACTAAAATGTTTTAGCAATAATTTTTAAAATGACAAGATTCTAAAATGTGCAAATTATTAAACTGTGTTCTCGAAGGCTTTCACGGCTGGGATTTGATGGTTGTTGTAGGTTTTTCAGGCTTTTTTTACTGTGTTCTGGAGGTTTTTCTTCCTAATGTTTCACCAGTCTCTGTGGCCAGCATCTTTAGAGGAAAGCAACTAGAACTCTGTCTGTGTTCTGGTGCAGTGTGTGGGATTGTTGAGTATTTGTAGCTGTAGGAGCAGGTTTTCTCCTTTTTCTCCTGAAAAGAACAAAAACCTAATCCCACAACTACAAATACTCAACAATCCCACATACTACATCAGAACACAGACAAAGTTCTAGCTCTTGTCCTCTGAAGATGCCAGCCACAGAGACTGGCAAAATGTTAGGAAGAAAACCCTCCAGAACATGACCAAACAGCCCGAAAAACCTACAACAACTATTAAATTGGTTGTTGTGGGTTTTTCGAGCTCTTTGGCCATGTTCTGAAGGTTGTTCTTCCTAACGTTTCACCAGTCTCTGTGGCCAGCATCTTCAGAGGACACCACTCTGTGCTCTGGGAATTAATTAAATTGTTGTTAAGAATTGCCGGCTTCTATCAATATATTTGCATGTCTTTAGATTAAAACAGTATCTTATCGTTCCTTGATTTAAAATATGATGGTTTTTGGAGGCTATTGTGACATCAAGGTGGATACCTCGGTTTGGAAAGATGGGTACAGTGGAAGAAGGCAAATATGGAAAAAAAACTAGTAAAAAAGGAAAAAGAATGTAGAAATGCAAAGAGCTGAAGGAAGTAACAACAGAAGTTTCTGAGTACTGGGTGGGGCAGAGTAGGGTGCCTGTGCCATGCATCTAGAGCTTGGAAGTAACTATCTTACACATGAGTTAGTTGTAATTAATTCCTTTGTATAATAGCTAAAGTATAGTTATGATATTCAGTGCAGTGTAGCGGATAAAGTGACAAAGACTCAAGAGTCCTGCAATTGAATCCCTACTTGACCACAGAAACTTACTGAGGTTGGGTTAGAACTAGTAAAAGCAATCTTTAAATATCTGCCTTATTCTGAAAGTCCTATTACCATACTATAGATTGGTTCGTTCTTGACACACGTATGGTTCGTTCTTGACACATGTAACATAAGGTATGGTTATATACATACTACTGCAATGTAGTGAGGAAGCACATGACTTCTTTTGTGGTGTATCTAGAACTGGTTTGGGGGGTGTTTTAAAGAGACAAAGTTTAGTTTTTAGTTTTTTTAAAAAATTGAGAAATAAAAGGCTGTAATTAACTATTATTACAAAAAAATTCCCAGGCTCTACCTTCCATCGGTTATTTTGCCACCTCTGCATTTTGAATAGTGGTGTTTTATATGGCAGCCTACCTCGACTTGGTGCCTTCCAAAGCTAGCTGGTCCGATGGGAATTGCAGTTGTAACTTAGTAGGTCTAGCACTTCACAAATAATACAGTATTTAAAAACTAAGAGTACTATTTATTCTTTTCGTTTACTTTGGGAATGCCCAAAACCCTTGGAAGAGCAAGGCTTTAGAAACACTGCTGCAGATAACCTTGTGTGTGAAATTAAAACTACAGTAGTTGCAAGATTCTGATTCATTTTCGTATTCCCTATTTAAATGAATTCGTTTTCCAGCCGTTGAAGAGTCTTTGGCACAAGAAGTCTGTATTTAAGCGCGTTCTTTCCAAATCCCAATAAAGCCGGCGTTTTTGTGAAATATTTTCCCGTTTTTTTTTAAAGCGACTCTGGGAAAGAGCCTAAAATCGGGAGAGGGCGTTTTTTTAAGAGGGGCGGGCAAATGCAAACTAGGATTGGAGTTTTAATAGCCTTAAGAGCTCTGTGTGCGTTTGCCTGTGTGTGTACCTAAGGGAGAAGGTATACACCTCCGTTCAGCCTGAGGAAGAAGGCAGAGTTTGCCTGAGGTGAGCCCGAGGAGCGGCCAAAGGAGCGCCAAAATCTGCTTAGCAACCTGGTCCTGCAGTAGCCCGCAGGGCGTTTCCGTGCGCCGGTCCCCTCCCCTCAGTCCGCCTGTATCCCTGCATTCCCTGCTGCAAGGCCAGCAGCTGCCGCTTGTAAAAGCATCCCTACTAGCCTATACGGGTCTCTCCTCCCCCTCTCTCTCTCTCGTTCCCAATAGCTGCCGGCCTCGGCTGCCTCTCTCTCTCTCTCTTTGCAGCTTTGCTCGCTCAGAGGCTGGAGACGGAGGGAGGGAAAAGGAAAAGGGGGAGAAGCCGCCATGTTGGATCCTGAGCCTTCGGTAGCAGCGGCGGCGGCGGCGGCGGCAGCGGCAGCAGCAGGAAGAACAGCCGCTTGTGGGCGAGGAGTCCAGGCGAGCGCCGTGTGAAGGGAGCAGAGAGGAAGAGGACGACGGAAAGGAGGAAAAGGAAGCGGAGGAGGGAGGGAGGGCTGCCTAAGCCGTGACCACGTCCTCGTTGTCGTCGCCCCGTTTGGCCACACGAAGGAGATGCCCTGACCGGGCAGCATCTATTCTTCCCCTGCGCTCGGGGGTGGGGGGGAGGAGAGCGAAAGCGGCAATAACACCAGCAGCATCTTTGGGAAGAGGAGCAAAAAAAAAGGAGCAGCAGCATTTCTGACATTCTGAGTCACCCTGCCCTCTCCCCCCCCTCCAAAAGGCAAACAAGGAGGAGGAGGAGGACACGCACCGACATGGAAGGGATTTGCTAGGATTATTATTAGCCCAGCCTTTTCTTAGCTGGGCGTATTGATATTTAAGGGGGAGAAAATACTGTGGGGTTTTTTTTCCCTCTCTCCCCCACTCCACCCCGCCAGTACGTCGGGCAGAGGATGTTTAGGAAATGAAGCCTTCACGTTTATTTTTGGCTAGCTGAAGCGCCTCAAGAGAAGCCTCGCTGGGCATGGAAGCGAAGACGAGCGAGCCTTCCGCAGACAGGCAGCCCTGAGCAAGAAAGGCTCTGTTTCTGGGGACTTTTCTTCTCTTCTCCCCCCCCCACATCTCCCCACCCCCACTCTCAGAAGAATTGCCACTGATGCATTTTCCAAGGGGTGGTGGAGGTGGAGGTGACGGAGGCCGCGGCGGCGGGGAAGGTGGAGGCGGCGGCGGATCGGCTCCCGCACTAGACCTTCCCAACGTTATGCATTTTGTTTTGTGCTTCCCCGTTTTCCAATGTCTTTCTGCGGCTCTTCCCTCGGAAGTGCGTTGCTGATACCAGTCGAATGGGGATTTTATACTTCAATGATGGAGTAGGATTCATTTCAGGATTATGTTGCATGATCTGAATTTTGAATGAAGGAGGAGACCTTTGGGGGGGCGAAAAAGCTATCGATCTAGTCGATGAGGGAAGAGAGGATTCCGTCTTGGGTTGAATTTTTTAATTATTATTATTATTTAAATGTACAAAGTATATATTTTCTCTTCTTTTAAATGTATTAAGAGATTTTAGGATAATTATTTTTCTTTAATATTCTGTATACAGTATACTGCAGATGTGTGTGGAAAAACCAACCAAGATATAGGTCTCAGAATGGGAATTCTGAGATGGATTGTACATTCAGCACCAACCCAACAACACTGACTTTTCAAGATATATTTTTAGAAACTAATCCTTCTAATGTTTTAGATTTTCCAAAAATAACTAATATTAATACTAATAATTAAGAGAGAAGGCCTGTTGAAAACTGAAGCAACCATGTCTGGAGAAGTGCGTCTGAGACAGTTGGAACAGTTTATTTTGGATGGGCCAACTCAGACAAATGGGCAGTGCTTTAGTGTGGAAACCTTGCTGGATATACTCATCTGCCTTTATGATGAATGTAATAACTCACCCCTGAGAAGAGAGAAGAATATTCTTGAATACCTAGAATGGGGTAAGTTTGACCATGTCACACCTGGAGTGCAGTCTTATGTTTTAATACTGTATTTCATTGGCATATCTTGGAGGCATCATGTGCCTCTTGCTCTTCTAATTTTCAAAACTGATGAACAGCCATAATTTTAAGTCAGGGTCCCAGATGTATGTTTCCCAGGAAGTGACAAATCTTCCTGGCCTTGGTGTCAGTAAATGTATGCACAGACTTTTAAGGTGCAGCATTTGAAGTTCACAACTTACAAAGCATGACAGCAACACATCATTTGACTTCCCTCATATGTATGTGTGCTGTGTCATGGTGCCCATAGGAGAAAAACAGTGAAATACAGTAGCTGAAATGTTTGAAATATCAGAAAATAGAGTTGGGGTAGAGAGGGTTAAAGATATTATGAGCTGCAATTGACTTATCTCAAGTACTGAGAACAAATCTGAAACAGTATGGAACTGTTTTAGGATTTTTTTTGAAATGCAGGTGAAATCTTAATAGCTAACTGAACAATATTGGCATTGGGACAATGTAGTTATTTATTTCCTACTCTCTAGTAGTGGAGTACAGAAGATGAAGTCACACCAGAACAGTTCTATTGTATGACCTTCAGATGTCAAAGTCATAGTCTACACAAGCATATTTTTTTTATAAAAAGACTTTGACAAAAATGGCATTAGAGAGGTACACCATTTTAAGAAGTGAACTGGAAAGTGGTTGGCTGGGTCTTTAACAGAAAAAAGACTTTTATTTCCACACTGCAATCAAAACAAATCCAGCAGACTACCAGTTTTGGTTCAGCGAGCAATAGTACAATCCTGAGTAAATTTAATTAAGACAAGTTTCATTGAGTTTTATGAGTCTTTCTCCCTAGCAAATGTGTTTTGGACTGCATCTCTGTTTTTGGTTTTGGCACAATTGAAAGCACTTGCAGTGTTAGGTTAGTTTGTATTCCTGGTTTGATACCTCTTAAAAGAACATAAGATTGCAACTGTTAACTTGGCAGCTTGAATGAAGGTAGGTAGTTTTTGTGATATGAAATGTTTTTCTAATTGAAAACATACTTTACAACAGATGATGTAACTACACTGAATGGGTTTGAATGAACAGATTAATGTCAGTGGAATAGGATAAATATATCCATGTTAGGTTGATGTAGGACCTATCACATTGAATGTACTTTTTCCAACTCCTTGAACATGATTCTTTGACAATCAAAACTAGAACTATTTCAATATTTTAAAATTAATACTTTATCAGGAAGTTACTTTGAGCACTATTGAGAAATGAGGTACACTTCTGGAGGTTGTAATGCGTTTCATTTTTGTAGTTTTTAAATGTACAGTACTTTGTTTTTCCATTCAGCTCTTCTGCTTTAGAAATATTTATTTTTTAACTTCTGGTGCTCAATTCATAGTAGGCAGGTAGATGTAAAAAGGAGATATTTGAAAGTAAATAGTAGGTTAGTGCCTTGTTTATGTATGACCTAAAGGAACAGGATATGTAATATCAGGAGTGTTACTTTTTTGGATTCCTGTTTGCCCAGTCTTCTAGCTGCCCATGGTTCTTTGCAAGCTCTGATGAAGAATGATGGCAACAGTATTTCTCCCATGACTGTTTGGCTCAGTATGTAGTGTTTATATGATTGACTGCTTTAGGACTATGTAAAAATATTCTTTGCAAAATCACTGCATATCGGCATGTTCATCTTCTCTAGCCTAAATTCACAAGGAGTTGATGGGTTTAGTAGTGTTTGTATGAGTTAGAGCATCTTAGCTATACGTGAAATAGTCCAGTAAAATGGATCATTTTGTAGTAGTTAAAATGGGCTTGGTGTGGATTTTGTTTATTTCTTTCACAATTGGAAGACTTTATTTAAATATTTTTTGTTACACTTTTTAGTTGGATCTCAGAACAGTTTCTGTAAGATCAATTATAAAAGAGATGGTCCCAGACTACAGACTCCTACTCTCTTTAAAAAAAATGACACAAAAGTACAGGAAGGGATCCTTATGTTTCCCCAACCAGATCCCTTTGGAAGGCTTGAAGTTGATATGATGCACTGGTTAAGGATGGTCAGAGTTACAGAATATCAGGAAGTGGGAAAAGCAATACCTTCTGAAAAATTACAACATGCTTACAGCAGCCAGCTTGAATGAAAGTAGTTCAGAGGGAGGAGCGCAATGTAGTTGGTCTCTTAACAGACTAGTGGGAGGAAAAAGGCTCCCTCCTTTCTCCCACTGTGCTGTAGCCTGATGGAATGGCTCCTGCTAGATGACAGTGAACCCAGACAGTGTACAAATTGAGCTGCTGTCAGCTGAGCCAGTAGAGTAGCCTGCAATCTCACTTCTTTCTGTTTCAGCCTGTTTGTCATATGTGTTCTTTCCCTCCTACTTTCCATTTGTAGAATGTTCACACTGAAAAGCTGTAAAAATGTTTGGAGGTGTTTGTGTTTTATCAGAGGAAAATATTTTTAGTTAACAGGGACATTTCAGATTTTATTTTATGCCATGGTATAGTTTTCCTTACAAGCTTATTATTTTATATCTCTAAGGATTTATTTTATTTATTTATTTATTTATTTCATTTATACCCCGCCTATCTAGTCAGTTGTGACCACTCTAGGTGGCTTACAACACAAGGATCATTTTCCCAGTTTTAATTTTGGTTCTCTAGTTTTAGTCTTATTATTTAAGTTTTCTGGTTTTAAATATATTAATGCTGAATTCATGTTTTTAAAATTCTTTACCACTTGAGCTTGTGCTAAACTGCTATAGTCAGCATAAATGACAGAGCTGTAAATTCTTAGGGGAAAATGTATAGATTTTTTAAAATAAAAAGGTACAGGATTAGTATAATGTATTTGTATGTTTTTGATAATTAAAAATGTTACTATTGTTGTACATGTTCCCTGTTGACTTTGAAATCAATCTTAAAATATACTAAAGGTTGTTATTGAGCACACCTTAAATTTCAAGTATGAATAATTTTTTCGGACATTCTAATGAGCATAATTACTTATGGTTATTAGCTAATGATTAAACAGTTATGCACGATTAGACTTTCCTAATGCTTAAGTTTTCATTTGTGAAAGCAAAACGACAGACTTGATAATTTCTCCTTCATAATGGTTTCTCTTTTCCCTTTTCTTTATATTTGCTTTTCTATACAGTATTTTTATTTTATTTTAGAAAATATGATTACAAAATCTTTTAATACTGTGGTTGTGAATATATAAGTGAAGATGTTTCATTTGTGGTAGCATGTTCTGTTTTAGCTTGTTTGATCATGATTATAAATCCTAGAAATATATATAGCAGAGTCACTGTATTTATTTGAATGTACTCTATTTACATGACTAGTTGTAGTCTGCAGTGCTAGTTGTACTTAAGTGGCAGAATAAGAACCTTTTCTTTTAGCAACTGGAGCCCGCCAGCTGGAAAGATTTGAGAATGCAGAGCATGTGTTTCTTCTTTTGTACAACCTCTCTTGTTGTTGATGCATGTACTGCTGGATACAGGGGGTTGGGGAAAAACCTAGAGCAGGAAAAAGATGTGTTAAAAGTATATTAATGTTTTTAAAAAATAATACCACATTTGTATTAAAAGAAAAAATGAACAGTATCTGGAATGAAAATTATACTTAATCTTCTAGAGTTACTATGTTAGTCCTGCTTTAAGTTTGTTAATAACATTCAAATTCAATGGCTTCTAAAGTAGACTTAAATTCTAATATTTACTATTCTACGGTGCCTTGCTGTGTTCTGTCACTTCTCATACACAAACTGCCTTGAGTCAGATAATATGTCTGGTCCTGCATTGTCATCTGTGGTTCTCTAGGGTTTTGTGTAGAATTCTTTGCTACCCATACCTGGAGATGCTTGGAATTTCCTGATCTCCTGTTGCTGTTGTTTAGTCATTTAGTCATGTCTGACTCTTCATGACCCCATGGGCCAGAGCATGCCCTCCTGTCTTCCACTGCCTCCCGGAGTTGGGTCAAATTCATGTTGGTAGCTTCGATGACACTGTCCACCCATCTCGTCCTCTGTCCTCTCCTTCTCCTCTTGCCTTCACACTTTCCTAACATCAGGGTCTTTTCCAGGGAGTCTTCTCTTCTCATGAGATGGCCAAAGTATTGGAGCCTCAGCTTCAGGATCTGTCCTTCCAGTGAGTACTCAGGGTTGATTTCCTTTAGAATGGATAGAGTTGTTCTCCTTGCAGTCCAGGGGACACTCCAGCACCACAATTCAAGATCATAATTTTTTTAGTCGTCAGCTTTCTTTCTGGTCCAGCTCTCACTTCCATAAATCACTACAGGAAAAACCATAGCTTTGTCTATGCGGACTTTTGTTGGCAAGGTGATGTCTCTGCTTTTCAAGGTTTGTCATCACTTTCTTCCCAAGAAGCAGGCGTCTTTTAATTTCGTGGCTGTTGTCACCATCTGCAGTGGTCATGGAGCCCTAGAAAGTAAAATCTGTCACTGCCTCCATATTTTCCCCTTCTGTTTGCCAGGAGGCGATGGGACCAGTGGCTATGATCTTTTTTTGATGTTGAGATTCAGACCATTTTTGCACTGTTCTCTTTCACCCTCATTACGAGGTTCTTTAATTCCTCCTCACTTTCTGCCATCAGAGTGGTATCATCTGCATATCGGAGGTTGTTGATATTTCTTCCAGCAGTCTTAATTCTGGCTTGGGATTCCTCCAGTCTGCCTTTCACATGATGTATTCTGCATATAAGTTAAATAACCAGGGAGGCAATATACAGCCTTGTCGTACTCCTTTCCCAATTTTGAACCAATCAGTTGTTCCATGTCCAGTTCTAATTGTTGCTTCCTGCCCCACGTATAGGTTTCTCAGGAGATAGATAAAGTGGTCAGGCACTCCCATTTCTTTAAGGTCTTGCTGTAATTTACTGTGGTCCACACAGTCAAAAGCTTTTGCATAGTCAATGAAGCAGAAATAGACATTTTTCTCAAACTCTCTGGCTTTCTCCATAATCCAGTGCATTTGG